GTATTTTGCGCGACAGTCCAGCGTTCACAGTTTTAGAGAAAATCGGGAAAATATGGTTTTCAAAAAACTGCAAATATCTCGATAACCAAAAAAGCCGAACTGAATCTAATCAGTCTAGTGGATAGGCCGTCTTAAACTCCATAAAGAAGTTGGTGTTCGCTTTTACGCGATAATCGACAATAAGCAAGCAATTGACGATTTTCTAAAATCATGCAAGATTTTGAGAAAAACAATTCTAAATTTTCCCCAATTTTGTGATGTAAAATTTAGGTCAAATTTTGACGTGCAAGGTCTTTAGTGATCCAAAGCAATGCATGACACTTGAAAATTATTAATTTTCTGAACACAAAATCCTCCTCAAGTATATGACCGATGGCGTCGTGACGTCCCACCAAGAGTGAAGACCCACAATTTCGGCAAAATTCAAACTTTTAGAGCGTCAAACCAATCTATCGATAGTAGATCGATACTGTAACAAACCACATGCCAATAGCGGTTTTTGTTAGTTACCTATAAACATTCAATGTTTGGCTTTACATGGGCCCTTATGGGAGCGAAATTTTCATTTTGTTTTTTGAATGTCAAAAACGCCCAATAATGTCAAACTCTTTGACAGAGTGTCTTTGTGTCTTCAAAACAATAGACTGAAAAACATTTTCAAGTCGCTGCCTAGACCGATTTTTCGACCGTCAATTTCGTTTACATGGACTCTTATGGCAGAATGACAAAATTTGCACTTTGACCTTCAATTGAGATACCTCAAAATTGTCCAGAAGGTTTCAGAACCAGATAGTCCCATTATTTGGATACATTCTGGTGTCAAAATGGTCAAAATCCCTTCATAATTGACTCGTCCAAATGAATTATTGAATTTGTTTCACAAGAATGATGATCTGCAAGGTATCCTAAATAATTATTTGCACAGAAACTGTAGATTTTGCGAAAATTTAACAAGAGGCAAAAAAGTTTCCAACGAACATCAGCTAGTGGCACATAACTAAATAATTTCTTCACACTTGCGTTAAAACACATCAATTTATGTAGCAACTTTATATTCCAAGTTTAGCGAAAATCGATACAGCAGTTTAGCAATTATTCGGAACTATAAGGTTAAGGAATTTGTGGTTAAGCGTTGAGCAGTCATTTCAGGAACACCCTGTATATGAAAAAAAGGTGATTCGATTCCAGGTCAAATTTGCGGGCGCACATGCAAACCCACTCGAACGAGAAGCGCTTTGAGTGCCCAAATTGCTTCAAAACGTTCGCCCTCAAGTCGTACCTCAACAAGCACTTGGAGTCCACGTGCATCAACTACGCAAACATGACCATGAAGAATAAGGGCGACGTGAAGATGCGCGAACAGGCAAAGAAGAACGCCGAAACGCAAACACTCACCATGGAGGACAGTTCGTTGTCGACCATCGTTGTCGACTAGAGATGTTCAAGGTAAACACTTTTTACTAAGTGGACTTTGCAGCACATTTACAGGGTTTCAATCAGTGGAAAATTGCACAGCGTTTCATATGTCTGATGTCATTTAGCATTAGCAACTTTGATTTCTAACCGATCTAGCGCGTTTTTCAATGAGCGCAAAGCTTGATAATTCCGAAAAAAACAACCAGAGCATCCAAAATTTTCTTTTTTTTGTGCACTTGTGCTTCGTTTCAATCATTCATGCTGGGGCACCCAGCAAATTAAACAAGCACTTGAATCGGCACTTAGGCATTTGCAAAACCCTCCCAGCGCTTGCTTGCTAGTGGTAGATATCAAAGTGGCAAAACTTGAACAATGAAGCCGAATGTGGGCTCCATAGAGTAAGTAAAATAAGATAAATTATTATTTATTTTATTTTTTCTATGGTGGGCTTTCAGTGGCGGCGCTTTTTCCAGATGACCCAGCAATGCCTTGCTCGACAGCATGAAGCGAGTCACCACTGGACCCTTTCCAAGACGAAGTTGCTCAAAGCGAAAAATTGGATTTACTTTCGAAAGTCGCCGGTGCCAAAGTTCACGAAACCCGCCCTTGTAACGGGGTGCAACAGCAAATATTAAAATTTCATTTCCGAGTCGCTCCATAGGAAACACGCTAATATTAAGTCGATTTCTTTTGACGTATTTGTTTCGAGTGGCTTCACCGCGCGCGCATTTATTTAAAACAA